CTTATCGTGATGGAGGGAGAGAGCACGACCCCGTAATTCGCTTTTGTCCCTTGTGGTTAAGGAATAAATGATGGATCGGTCGCATGGACCATTCATTTCAGGCGGATTTGACGGCCACTGTTTTGCTCCACACTGAATATTCATTGCTCTTTAGTGAAAGATCGAGTTTACATATTCAAATAGAATAGGACCAAAGGCCACAGCTGTGGCTTTAATTTTACTAATCCGCACATAAAACACGTATTACAACAATATTATTCATAAAAATGTAAAAATTTTCAAGTTATGCACCAATTATTTTTAAAGTTTCATACCCAGTTAATATCAATACTGAGGGAGACTTTGTACAAAAGTCGATTGCTTGAGTACCTCTATCCCATTCGCGTTTCAACCGTGAAGCAGTTGTGTTTGCATGGCTGTGTTTCGGTTTAAAGGGTGGGATATGGCGTGAATTTACTGGGTACAGAGGAATAACACCTGAGTCCTCAGGAATGGCATCGCATGGGGGTATCATGGGCGAGACAGTATACTTTGTTATGTCCATGGTACTGCTCATGTCTATAGGCGACGGTTACCACTTTCCATCAGATGGACCGTCAGCTTGTTTGCCATTCTAAGTTGTATAAAAAAAATACCCAGTTCGTAGCTCAAAGAACTGACAAGGGATGAGGTAGACAGGTGTTTGAGTGTCGACCACGTATGAACAAACACACTGTAGGACGATTCCCCACTAGGTGGAGTGACGACCTCAAAGGCATTGCAGGGAGTCAGTGGATGCAGGTGGCTCATGGACCGTTCCTTATGGCGGTCTATGGGGAAGGCCTGAATGTAGTAGGAACATGAATATACATACAACAACGCACATAGGATACACTTCTTCATAGATAGATAGATAGATAGATAAATACTCTTTATTGTTTCCTCCAAAAGATTACAATAGTAAACTTATTACAAATATAAACAATTACAAGAAATAATCACAATGAGAAAACAACAGGCGACCTTATCACTAAGAGCGATCTCTTCCAGGCAACCTTTGGATGTAGAGAAGCAATTATAAACAATTTGGTGGGAGGAACGAAGAAAAATTCTGTTCTAAATATGGGAGATGTGATATATATAATAATATAAATATTATCCATTTATTATATACATATACACATATACATACATGCTTATTATTTTAATTATAAACAATAAAGAGTATCTATCTATCTATCTCGTCGTCGACTGTTCGTATACGAATTCTCAAGTACTTCGGCCATATCATCCGGAATGAAGATTGTATGGAACGTCTAATTATCCAAGGAGCGGTACAAGGCAAACGTTCTCGGGGCAGATCACCAACGCGGTGGACTGACCTCATCAAAACGGCCACACAGCAGTCTATTGTGGAATGTTCTCGCTCGGCTGTGAACAGAAGCAGATGGAGACGTATTGCGAGGACCTCAATCGCGAAGGAGAGCCTCATCGACGATCCACTGTCATTGTGAAAACCACGACCACTCTGCCAAGAGTGTACGGCTGAAGAGAGATCTATCTATCTGACGTGATCGTATAAAGCTTAACGTACTCAACAGCAATGTAACAAAGTTATGGGCGTGATTGATTAATTATAACCCAGCGAGCAAACACAGCTATTGTCCTAGACCCCAATCTCCCCCTATTTGGTAACAATTCGAACATATGTTTTTATTCGAAACTTCACAACTCCCCTTGACAATGATCTATAGAGCAAACTATTTTAGTACCCACGCAGGTTTATTTAGAATTGCGACTCACTACACTAACAGTGGTGTCATTATAGTGGCGCCCTCTGCTCTTAGTTTCTTTTGTCACTTTTGTTAGCCATGAAGACCCCGGATATGGCTTATCAGGTGACGGTTTTGAAGTTCTAACCAAGGGGGCAATAATTTCTGATTGATAAATTTAGATATTTTTCAATATTTTTACTAAGATATTATATATGATCCAATTGTAACTATATAAACGAAATAAAGATTATTTAGTATAATTTTAAATTATCATCCATAAAACTAAAATTTTGTGGTCACGTAAGATTATTTTTGTTAAAATATAAAATTAAGACCGAATATAGTCTGACAAATAAGCAAACTAAAGTGACGTAGACCGACGGTAAAAAAAAAAACTGAGAACATTTACGTACAAAATTAATTGTGATGGAAGTTTGTCATAGAACATAAAGTGTAACTATTTTAACAGGTTTAGTTAATTTAAACTAATATTATAATGAGGAAAGAATTTATATTATCATTTAAAATGTATAAACTATGAAAATACTTAACATGTTTTAACAATTCTTTCGTCTACAAAAAGCAACGTTACGAGTATCAGCGAGTAAGGCTATATTTTCAACCGACTTAAAAAAGAAGAGGTTCCCAATTCGGTTGTATTTTTTCTATGTTTGTTACCTCATAACTCTGACATTTGTAACGAGTTTTGGAAAATTGTTTTTTTTTTTTGTTTGAAAGAATATATTTACATATTGGTCTCATAGAAACTTTAACAAAATCAGTTCAGTTGTCTAGTTTCTGATTTTGCCACAATTGAAAGAAAGAACAATAATTATCTGGCGCGTATCAATAACAATTACAACTAAGACATAATTATAAAATTAAAGAAAAAAGAAATACAAAAATAAACTTATACCTAATTAGAAATTGTGCGAACAAAATGGTCACACCACTTTGGTCGCATAATTTGTTTAGCCATTCATACATAACGCCTAAACGCTGATTTTCTGTGGAACTAATGAGCCAGTATTTTTGTGAAACACTCTCAATTTAAAAAAAAAAACCGTGCGAATCCAGATCGCTAGTAATTTAATAATCATGAGCATTCTTACGAAATGGGACCTCGGAACAAGTTGTTGTGATTGCAAAATGATGTTTCGAAATAATACCGACTCCCGCGCGAACACTCACACTGTTTTGACGGCTCACTCCAACGGCACGAGGGGTCGAGATTAAGGGATGATTTCGCGAGAACTCCGTCTAATTATTATAAATCTTTAGCTTTATCTTTGTGTTAGAAAAGGGTTCGGCCGTATCTCTGGTAGGCAGTCGCCGTAAAAAGGTAAATTGTATTAGACTGCATTACAGAGAGAAAGCATTACTACAGTAAGGCATGAACCCTTCCCGCCGCCCACTCTCAGTAAAACAGGTGCATAACATTTGAGTACCACAATAAAAAAAATGTGGTTCAATCAAGGAAAACCTACTCGATTTTGACAATATTTATACCAACTTAACAGCTGAACATGCCGTGTTAATGAGGTTAAAAACTTTTCGTCATTTATTGACCCTTTGTAATATCCAAATACAGATATCCCTTGTCTAGATACACTGTAAGATCTCTTTAAAAATAAAAAGCCGGTCCATTGCGAGTCGAACTCTCGCAAAGAGGGTTCCGTACAAAATCATCAAATTTATTTTATTTTTTGTGAAATAACTACAAATTTGCGGTTTTCGGATTTTTTCCTTTACTTGCACTATATGTCATTATTTCTTGCCAAATTTCATGATTCTAGGTCAACGGGAAATACTCTATGGATTTTAAATCTTTTTGCGAATGTCAAAATATGCGATATAAATGTAACATAAACGGCCGCATCTTTTGATTGCGTCGATTTAGAAGCTTACTTTTTTGCTGCTTTAAGACATTGCAGACCTGAGTATATGATATTAATTTCAACTTGATACCTCCACGCGATTCTAAGAAAAAGGATATTGATAGGCAGATGGACAGACGGACGGAGAACGAAGTGATCCAATAAGAGTTCCAATTTTTCTTTTGGAGGAACGGAACCCTAAAAAGAACTAATGTTTTCCATACCACCCTGTTACGGTAACCAAATATATTATTTGCCATTTAAATAATCAGTAATAAGAAAGCTACACGCGCGGACTTATATCACGATTACAAGGCGCCATCTTTATTTATAAAGTGTAATCCATTACAAATTGACGAGGTGGCCGGATCAAAGGCGGGGAAACAACACGCGGCAAAATATTCATTGCTTACGTGATGTGTGGGTACTGGCAATGTACAAAATTCATGTTCTAAATTTAAATTTAGCAGACAGGTAGAAAGGAGGTTTGTTTTAAGAAGCCAGAGGTTCCAGTTCTTTGAGAAAAATCTGTAAATATGTCATTTCAAATAAAAAAAAAATTTCCAAATCGGCGTATAACTGATGGAGTTATGAGGTAAAAATAAACATAAAAAGCATATTATTAATGTTGTTATCTCCCAAAATATTTAATTTACATTTTTTTTTTTTAATCAATTCACCGCCGTTTCCTCTCTCTGTTTATCGTAACGGTTGACTGGTAGAGAATGCCATCAGGCATTAAGTCCGCCCTGTAGATTTATTCTAATGTGTGCAAATGTATTAATTAATTTTATCATCATCTTCCTACCCTTATCCCAATCATTTGTTGTCGGCGTAACATGATTTTATCCATATTACAAAAAGACTTGGTTTTTAGTTTTACGACCGGCCACCTGCCTGTCGTCAACCCTCTCTGGGAATGCATTTGTTGGTGGTTTCCGCCACCTACGGTATGGAGGAAAGGATTGAGGAAAAAAGGAAGGGAACGTTGGAAATGCATAAAGGAAATTGGTGAATGAGAGGAATAAGGGACTCATGTGGGAAAGGAAAGGGGGGGGGAGACTGCAGTTGCGGAAAGGACTGGGACACTACAGCGGCTCGGGAGGCCGGGGTCGCATACCCGTATGCCCTTATTCTAGAATCGGACAGATTTCTAGATAAAAACACAATAAAAGTAAATAAATAATAATAAATAAATAAAAATATAATAAAAGTTTATATATTTTATTTATTTATAATAAAAGCACTTATAAATAAAAAAATAAAAGTTATAATAAAAGCACTTTTTTTTCTTGAAATCTTTCGGTAGTCGGACGAAAACTTTTAAGAACCAAGTCCTATTAATTGCGTATATTATTCAATAACTTACCAAATAGCAAACTCTACGTAGTGACCACAATAATCTGTAACAAATAAATTGTAAAAATTATTACCAAATTTTTTCTAAATTACTTTCATAGCGCGGAGCTTATTAACTAGCCTTTAAGTCACGTGCATTATTTATTTATTTATTTACTTACTAAATTTTCCCCGTGACTTGGCCAGCATGACTGTATTAAAAATAGCTTATGTAGAACGTAGCAGTAAGTACTTTATATTATTCTCAATTTCATGTATAACATAGTATATGTTATATATGTGTAAGTATATTTGTTATTTATATATATGTATTCGTATATATATGTAATTTTAGTATGTACGTATATCAATAATTACTAATACCGCATTCGAGTATTCTGACACTTCCCTATGGTTGACTGGGAGAGAATGCTTTTAGCATTAAGTCCGCCATATACACATACATGTACTAATAAATAAATAAACGTGCAGATCAAATATATATATATATATATATATATATATATATATATATATATATATATATATATATATATATATATAGCCATGTAAACACAACTACTTCACGGTAGAAACACGAATAGGACAGAGATATACAAGGTCTAACATATCTGTTACAAACAATGATGGATATTTCGGTTATGCGGAAGAAGTCGCGAGTGCAAGGTAGTGCTGTAATAAATTTTAACTACTAAAGTGTTTCTCTATAATTTATTGCCGGCGACTGTACCAATGGGCGCAATGCGGCATTTCAGTGTTAACAGCCCGTCGGTACAGTCGCGACAACCTTGTCCCTTCGAAGGCCGTAATTCCCGTTACCAATGTACTTAAGCTTGGATGAATGAATTAATGAGTATAATTTATTTGCATTATACAATATAGGAAATAAACAAGACAATTTACAAACACAACGATACAATTGTATAAGTACAGTATGGCGGCCTTATTGCTGAGAGCGATGTTTTCAAGACAACCTTATTTATAAAATAACACATTAACATGGAAAGGTTTTGCTGGAAGAAATCTCTTATTAGAGATAAGCTCGCCTTTGTACATTATGTTTATAATGAATTGTAAATTAAATTGAATAAAGAACCTTGGACTAATTGTTGTACAAGTAGGTATGATAGTGCTGTATAATTAAAAAAAGTATCTTTTACAAATTAAAAATATATAAAATTAAATATCACTACATTGTATAAAACAAAGTCGCTTCCCGTCTGTCCGTCCCTATGTATGCTTAGATCTTTAAAACTACGCAATGGATCTTGATGCGGTTCTTTTTTAATAGACAGAGTGATTTAAGAGGAAGGTTTATATGTATAATACATGCATAATATAGTAGAGAAACACTGATAATTTTAGAGGTTTCTAATGTGATGTGATGTAATGTGCATCCGTGCGAAGCCGGGGCGGGGCGCTAGTATATTTGTTTATTTATTTAAATTTGAAAGGCATATCAACAGTGCAAATACAGACATTAATTTAAATTGATATACAGAGCTTGCATATATATATTATATATATATATATATATATATATATATATATATATATATATACTGTATTGCACTTGTAAATTACATTGTTAATGCAGTTATAAATGTTGTGAGCAAGGGTGGACTTATCTCTGACAGAGATCTCTTCCAGTCAACCCAGTACAGTGAGAAAGCATTTCGTTAGCGGGCAGCTAAAGTGCTACAACTATTAATACATAAACAAATATACAAATAAACAGTTAAATGAAATATTAATATATATTAAAATATTACATAAATACACATACTATAAATAAATATAATACCTGTTTACTTAAATAATAAATGTTAAAATAAATTAATATACTACCTGCATTAGAGATTTAATTTACTGACTTCAAGATTTGAGAATTCAATTAGAAATATGAAAAACTAAGATGATAATGTAAGGATAATGTAAAGAAATAAACACGGTAACAATATTCGTAGCGTCGTAGTAAGCTACGCGGCGTAGACGTGTCGTAGTTACTACGCCGTAGCTTATGAGCTACGAACACTAATTACACATATGGTAATGAATAAATAATTTACCTGCACAATGCAGTTATATACTCATGTTCATTAGTTTCTATATTGTGTTTATAAATTGTGAGATAGCAAATTAATATGTCATTAGAATATGGAATAATTATCTGAATTATTGATACACCATGATCTACAAGAAAAACCGACTTCAGTCGTGGCTAAAACAGTTATTTTAATTAAAAAATTACTAAACTAATTTTGATAGCATGTCTATGGAGGAGGAGTCTGCCAGAGGGAGACATTGTACAGAAGTCGATTGCTTGGGTACCTCTGTCCCATTCGTGTTTCAACCGTGAAACAGTTGTGTTTGCATGGCTGTGTTTCGGTTTGAAGGGTGGGATATGGCGTGAATTTACTGGGTACAGAGGAATAACACCTGAGTCCTCAGGAATGGCAATGCATGGGGGTATCATGGGTGAAACAGTATACTCTATTATGTCCATGGTACTGCTCATGTCTATAGGCGACGGTTACCACTTTCCATCAGGTGGACCGTCAGCTTGTTTACCATTCTAAGTTGTATAAAAAACAATGGAGCCAATCTAAGTAATATATAATAATAATAATAAGTACATCCTTTCAGATAAAGAAAGAATTTTGCAAATCAGTCTACAGTTGACGGAGTAATGAGGCAACAAACAGAAAAAAATACAACCGAATTGAAAACATCCTTTTTTTTGAAGTCGCTTGAATTTGAATAGAAAATTTATGAAATAAAAATAAAGTGCTTGCTAACAAGTGTTTTTAATTTTCACTTCAATTGTGAATTGTAAAAAATAATTGAATTAACTGAGAAATTTCGACTTTTAATTAAAAAGGGAGAGTCTTACCCAGCAATGGGACACTACAGCCTATGTAAGAATATTTTTTATTCTGACACTAAATGGGCGAAAATATTATAAATAGTTGAACTCTTTATTTGAATCAAAAGATACACATAAATTCTTTAAATAGACAAAATTAAATACTTTTAAAAAACATGTTTAGAAACAACTAATCTTCTTTACGTTTTTCTTTATTATGTCCTATTAATATAATAAATGCAAAAGTATGTAACAAGAAAAATTTAACAAGTAAAAATCAAAGCATTTGTGGTTTGATTATTACTCTTTCACGTAAAAACTACGGAAGGAATTTGAACGAAATTTATTACGCGGATAAGGTATATCCTAACTTAATACACAGGATAACTTATGTAGTGATTGACACGGGCTGAACAGCGGGATACAGTAAGTATATAATAAATTCGTAACGAAGCCAAAACTATGCATTTGTGCGTAAGCATTGTGTTTAACCTTAAAATGAATAGAATTGTGTATAAATTTTTAACAATATATTGAACTAAATATGGACAAACAAATAGGCTATACAATTTAAAAAAGAAAATACCCCACTAAGGAGGTAAATTGATGTTACCCTCCAAAATTAAATTATTATACCCTTATAAATATATATTGATACTAGCTCTATTTTACAGCTTCGTTCGCGTGTATCAATACATAAAGTATCCTATGTATTAAGATAGGATATAACCGACCCATGTGCCAAATGTCATTCAAATCCGTTCAGTACTTTATGCGTTAAATAGTAACAAATATTCATTCCTCCATTTATATTATTACATGTATCACATCTCCATATTTAGAATTTATAGAATTTTTCATCGTGCCTCCCACCGAATTGTTTATAATTACTCCTCTCCATCCAAAGGTTGCAAGAGATCTCTTAGCGATAAGGCCGCCCATTGTTTTCTCATTGTGATTATTTCTTGTAATTGTTTATATCTATAATAAGTTTACTATTGTAATCTTTTAGAAGAAACAATAACGAGTATCTATCTACCTCGATATATACATCGATAAAGATAGAAATAAAGAATTCATTTCACATCAATTCGAATCGGTTTATTTGACATTTCATGAATAACACAGCTAATGATTCAGTACACGTACGTGTACCACTAATAAAATATATCAGAAATACAAATCTCGTTGCACGCACAGCTCGGGGTAACACAATCAATGGAAAATAGATCTGTCACCTGCACTCCCATCGCGATCGGCGGGGTGCTCGCGTCTCGCACACCATGTCGTCTATTTGTATGTAGATTTCTCCATGATTGGCGCAAACGGTCCCGCACAATTGTATTAAATCCACGTGATATTCTAAAAATGCACGTACTATATGGAATGGAGAAAGGTATCGCCTTCGAAAAGTCACTACATCTTTCATGGGGAACTGTACACGTTTTTTTAATAAACTTCCAGATGACGTTTTACATTTAAATGAAATAAAATTTAAGATATATATATATATAAAAAGGACTCTCTGTATAAAAGCATATTATAAAATAAATGACTATCTAAATGACAAAACTGCATGGATTTGAATATAGTATTAATGTGAATTGTATTGTAAATGTAATTATTGTATTTTTTTTAATCAATATTATTTTATAAAATAATTATTATAATTATAAATTGACGTATCATAAGAATCTGTAACAGATGTATATGAATAAAGATGATTGATTGATTGATTGATTGATTGATTGTATAGGTTACTTTTTCTCCCGGTCAGTAAACATGACCCGATCACGCGGACGAAGTCGCGGGTAACAATATTATATTACTTCTTCTATATTTATTTATTTTTTGGAAAACGTACAGCTGAATTACAGTCAATACATAATCAAATTTATATCTATGTTAAGCCATGAATCGTTTTCACATTTGCATATATATTTCCCTTTTTTTTCTTTTTATATATGTATTCTTTTATCTTATTTTTTGTATATGTCTATTTATGTCTGTTGTTATTTGTGTGCTGTAAGTAATGCAAATTAATTATATATCTATCTATTCAAAAGTTCAAATTTGGTGACATAATCATACAAAATAAGTACAAAAATAAAAAAAAAACTCAGTCGATATACTTGTGTTTACACAAACACACAGTATTTTTTTTTCTCACAATTAAAA